AAAGCCCCTTCCTCTGGCAAAATACTCGTGTCGGCCCCGACCCCGGCAGGATGCAGGGCCTAGTCTTTCATAGGAATAGTCCCTCCGAAGCCTGGGTGCGGGAGACAGATTCCCACCCGGTGGGGTTTCCTTGGGGCCCACCTTCCCCTTGGCTGTCTTGAGTGGGTCTGCCTTTGCAACCTTAGGGGTCTCATCCCCCTGTTCTAGGGATTTAGGAGGCAGCTCGTCGACTTTCACAGGTTGTGGTGGTTTCTTTATAGGCCCAGCTCGGCGAGGAGGGACGCCCGTCTCCTCTGGAGGGATTCCACGACGGCAGCTGCCTGGGCGAGGGCCCCAGCGAGTCTCAGTACGATTTTCTCTGCGCGGTGGCGGCGGGCCTTGGCCTCCACCTCCGCGGGCGGGCTTTCTGCCCGCTTCTGGTCCTGACACCTGCGGCGGCTCCTCCTTGGGGAGTTCCTTCTTGGGTGGTGGAGCTTGTATCTTGGCAGCCTCATCATTGCTTGGGGGCCAGGGTAGTGGACGGGGTCCTGGGGGAGCTGGCTCCTCCAGAGGAAAGCGAGAGACTGGGGGCCCAGGAGCTCCATTCTCGGGGAAACCTGGGTAATTAGCCAGATAAGGTGGGGGCGGAGGTACTGGAGGAGTCTCGCTCCTGAAGAGAAACAGAAGTTTGTTTGTGAGCACAAACGCATCCGGAGAGCACTCGGTGTGTTCCCACCTCGACCCCCTTCCATGGGATTCCGTCACCTCAGGCTACCCGCCACACTCAGCCGTGCACCCACCCCTCCCTAGCAACTCACCTCATACTCTTGTCGTCCTCATCTGCTGCCTGGCGCAGAGGTGAGGTTAGAGGGCGAGGGTCAGTGGGTGTGGTGGTAAAGACGTCTCCTACCCAGGCCAACTTGGGGTCCACTGGTGGGGTGCCCCGTTCCCGTAATAGAGGGGGTGCATGGCGTTCAAATGGCTCTGAGCTTGAGCCCCCACTGTCTGAACGCTCCCGGGGAACCAGACCTAAGAAAACAAGGAACTACCCTGTCGTAGGCCTTCCACACCAGAAAGTTCCTTCCCCATGCAAGCAGGGGGCACCTGCACCTGTTCTGGGTCCTGTCTCCTCCTGTGCAACAGTCAGTTTTCCAAAGTGATCAAGCAGCACAAGAGGCCACGCCCAAGGAAAGACCCCGGTTCCCCTCTTCCCTGCACCTATTCTCACAACACTCTCACAGGTGCTAAGCAGACACACCACCCTGGCAATCTGTCATGCAAACAAGAGTGTCCCCTCCTGGGACTAGGGAGCGCCCCAGCACTCGGTGCATCCTCACCAGAGGGATGCACACCAGGAGGGTAGAAGTCCAGAGGGGGCCGGCCCTGAAGAAGCCGAGGGTCCACATATGGAGGAATCATCATCCAGCGGGGGTCAAAGTTCATTGGAGGCATTGGTGGGGGCCGGCCCAGAGCACCTGGGTACAGGGCTTTGGGGGGTGGGGGTGGTGCCTGTGGGGCAGGTACAGTGCCCAGAGTCACAGGCTGTGGTGGTGATGGGGGCACTGGGGCAGGAGGGGCAGGGCCTTGCTGCTGCTGCTGCTGCTGCTGCTGCTGCCACTGCTGCTGCTGCTGCTTCAGGAGCTGCTCCTGCCAGGAACAGAGAATGGGCGGGGTTACCACAGCTCACACCCAAAGGCATCAGCAGAGAGTCATGGATGTGACAGAAAGGTGGAGCACATGGACTGTGGTAACACATGAAAGTGAACACAGCCTGAAGGTGTCTCTTGAGGATGGTGAAGAGACAAAAACATCCAGAGAGGAAGGTAACTTGGCCTTACCTGTTGCTGCCTCTGGAAGCGAGGTGGCAATGACTTCTGGTATTTGGGGTAGCCCAAGCCCTGGTTGGGAGGCTGGCGAGTAGGACCAACCCCATCACCCTTAGGTTCAACCTTTGGGGCTGGGGATGTGGTAGGTGGAGGAACCTCTTCTGCTGGCTCAGGACCCTCTTTTGAAGGCAGTTGGGGTTCCACTGCATTGAAGAATAGACTGACTTGGTCCATCAAAACAGTCAAGAATGTCCCAGAAATTCCAACCAAATATCAGCTATATTAATGCCCACCCAGGAAAACACTTCAAGGCCTCAAGTACTCCTGTGACCCTGCCAGAAAACACAAAGAGCTCTGCTCCACTTTAGGTTCAGCAAAAATGGTTTCTGATCGTGCTCCAGACATCCCAGCGACAAGATGCCTTTCTTTCCCTACTCTCATAGTTCAGGCACTGATCCCATGGATCCTACCCAGCTCCCCACAAGCCCAGGGCCTGGCCCACCCTCCTCCATACCTGGGCTGCCTTCCAAGCTGCCACTGCTGGTGCTACTGGCAGTGCCGCCGCCACTCGCCAGAGTGGGAGCGGGAACCACCCCTGGACTGGGGGTGGACTGCACAGGAGGGGCTTGTGCTGGCTCTTCGGGTTCTTTCTCTGGTGCTGGGGCTGGTGCTGGCGGCAGAGAAGGAGCAGGCAGTTCTTTGGGGACTGCAGGTGGTGGAGCTGGTGCAGGAGTGTTAACAGGTGGGGCCGCAGGCTCTGCTTTGAGCCGCTTGTCAGGTGCCCCAAACTTCTCGTCAAGCCGCTTGAGTTTCTCCGCGCAGGCCGCCCGGCGCTCCTCCTGCATGCGCCGCTCCTCCTCCTCCCGTCGCCTTCGGGCCCGCTCCACTGCCAGGGAGATCTCCGAGGACGACTGCTTCCGACGTTGGCGCCATGCCTCATCCTCGTCTTCGGGTGCTGGGGGTTTGCAGGGAGGACCCCCACGATCCTGGCAATGCGCAGACCGTCAGGCCAGGCGTGTCAGTCAGTCATCAGACCTTCCACTACCTCTACCAAAAGTCAACAAACTAATCCAGCAATGCCAAGCCTGTAAGTTAATGGTCTCTTTGGGTGGAGACAAATTTCTCACCCTCATCTCTGTTCCTCTGGAGACCTAAACATGCAGGCCCCCCTCGCTAGCATCTCACTCTTGTCCCCAAATGCCCCAGAAGCAGTTGCCAAGCTTTCTGAGATACTACACAGCCCTCCTCTAGCTTCTGCTCATTACTGCTTATTACCTAATTATTCAGCTGATGGCCCCCCACAACCCACCGTCTCAACCCTCACTGCAGATACTCACTGGGTAGTCCCCAGGGGGCCCCCAGTTCCCCACAGGTCCCCGGTGAGGTGGAGGTGGGGGGGGTTTTGGGGTGGCAGGAGCTGGCTCCGTTTCTGGAAGTCGAGAGTTCTCTGTCCAGGCTGTCTTGGGAGGGGGTGGTAGGCTGCCAGGGGACGTGCCCTCTTTGCCATCTGCTTCAGGCTCCTCACTAACAGCTGACTGGGAGTCCTTGCTGTGGGCAGATCACAGTGTATTTAAACTCAGCTGTAACCAGCCCTTTATACCAGAAAAACAGAGCCCCCTTCTCTCCTCTGGTGCCCTAACTAACTCACTGGCCCTCAGCCCCCTCCTCCTCAGAGTCTCGCCCATCTTCCTCATCGCTGAACTTGAGCTTTTCAGTGTAGTCGACCTCCTCATGGGCCCCTGAGGTGAAAGAAAATGGACAGTAAGTAAACCAAGCAGCCGGCTCTCCAATCTCAGATCCTTTCCCCTAACACAGCAGACAGCCTGGAGCTCCAAAAACAAAATCATGCAATGCTAACTACCCCCACCCCATCCAAGTTTGGTCACCCTCACCCTCCGCGCTTTGTACCTCGCACCCGCGCACCCTTTACCCTCACACACGACTCATCATTTCCTAATCAGACTTTAATCTTTAAGATCCAAATATCCAAATTCACCTGCCCAACCATCATCATTTTCCTGGTCCAATTGGTCAAATTCTTTGAGATTATCCTCTTTAAGAATAGAAGGCCGACCCACAGGCTCTACAAGGCGCATTGGCGGCCCTGAGCCCCGGGGGCCCGCCACACGGGGAAAACGGCTGTGTATGGGAAGAAAACAAGGGGGGGAAATGATGTTACATACAGCATACAATAGAATCCCATACAAAGCTGACCCTCCTGGGTAGAAAACACACCTCTTCCCAAGCAGCCTCACACTGTCCCCAGGAACAAACCCAGAAATCTGACAGCTTACCCGGGCCCATCTGGAGTCGGGTATCGATAAGGCCCCTGGGGTCCGTAGGGCGGAGGGAATGGGAGATATGGGGGATACATCTGCAAAAAGGCCCAACAATGGCTGCTAAGAGGGATAAATAGCCAGTCACAGTCGACCAGCCTTTAAACATGTCATCTTCCCATCCCCATTTCTCTGGGAGCTATCTTTTTTTTTTTTTTTTTTCGAGACAGGGTTTCTGTGTAGCCCTGGCTGTCCTAGAACCCACTCAGTAGACCAGGCAGGCCTCAAATTCACAGAGTTTCACCTGCCTCTGCTGCTTCCCGAGTGCTGGGATTAAAGGTGTGCGCCACCGCCCCCCCCCCCCCCC